GATAAGAGTCTCAGGGACTTTCCTGCTGGGACTGGTTTCAAACCACAATTCTCACATCTCAGCCTCCTGAGTAGCTAGCTAGGATTACAGGCATGAATCTCAAACATCTAACTCTGTTAACACTTGGGAATGAGGCATTAAGCTGTCTGTGCTCTTTCGGAAAGTTGTAAGATTGTGTCTTCCCAATAAATGCCCCTAAGTTTTCAAATAACCAAATATAGTGGTTTAGCAGTACTTATGGGAAGCAGCACATGGATGGACATTGTCCTGGGAATGGCCTCTGGGCTGGCCAATTCAATCTGTAAGGACACAAGACCTGAGTAGGCCCTCTCCTGGGTAGGTAATGACACCTACTTGCTAGAAGGACATATGTGTATAACAATGCTCCAAACACAGCTTCTGGTCAGTGCTTTCTCTAAAACCTTGAATTTGGAGTTGGTTTGACATCATTTAGGACACCAGAAATGGGTCTTTTATTTACGGATACTGAACTCACACCTTAAATCCAAGAAGCCAGATTGCCACTGCCTCTTGAGAGCCCCTCTCTCCCACATTGGCCAAAATAGAAGTTCAGGAATGGACATTTTCTCACCTGGAAGCGGAATAAAATATTCATCAATGGTGACCTGATTCTTTTGTTTTGTTTTGGTTGTGTGTAAGCAAGTCATTTAATTAGGACTTTCATCCTAAATTTTCCTAAGAAGCATTGCTGTTTTCACAGTTTAGGTTTCCTGTGACATGCCTGAAATTACAAACTGATAAGGCAATTTTAATCAGGGTCTTTTTTTTTTTTTTAATGTTTTTCAGATTTCTCACACAAAGCTTTCAGCAGATGACGCATGGAAGTAAGTTCTTAGCATTTCTGTAGTTGTTATTAAAAATTAGATTTGCTTCTTAATAGTCTGAGAAATGGAAGGAAATTCTGCCTTTAGTTGCATACTGCACAGGGTAGAGCAGGTGGGTAAGGGAGCCATATGTTTGAAGAATAAACAGGCCTCGGACCACAACTGCAGGACCTACCTGTGAAATCTCACGAAGCTAGATTAACAGAGCGTCAGGTTACTATTGATTTTAGGCACATGATACAGTTGGTTTCCTTCCTTCCTTCTTTCCTTCCTTCCTTCCTTCCTTCCTTCCTTCCTTTCCTTTCCTTTCCTTCCTCCTTCCTTCCTTCCTTCCTTTCTCTCTCTCTCTCTCTTTCTTTCTTTCTTTCTGTCAGTTGTGGGGCTTGAACTCTGGGCCTGGGCACTGTCACTCAGCTCTTCAGCTCAAGGCAAGCGCTATACCACTTGAGCCACAGCACCACTTCTGGTTTTTTTTAATTGGAGATAAGAGTCTTGTGAACTTTACTGTCTGGGCTGGCTTTGAACCACGACCCTCAGATCTCAGCCTTCTGAGCTAGGATTATAGGCATGAGCCACCAGCACCCAGCTGCAGCCGGTATTCTTTATGTGCTCCTTCCTCTGTGTTCTGGGACCTGCCTGGAGCCATTGGGTGTTGTGAACACCACATGAAAGAAATAAAAATAAAAAGTTCCTCCCTTATTGCACTACAGTAACCAATTATAGACATATTCCTACTTCAAATAGGAAATATGTATTACAGTTGTATACTAATTTATACTTTTCAAAGGGCTTCCACATAAGTTAACCCATTTGAAATGCTTTTCATGCTATATGTGCAAATATTTATATGTGAATATAGATACACATATAGAATGGATTCATAAAGCATATTTTGTTTTCCATCTATGCAAGTTTTACTTTAGGTTGATGATGAATTCACTCTTCAATCCACAGGACCTAAGTTGAAAGTCTCTTAATTATGCAGAATATTAAATATTGATTTTGGGGTCTGGGGATGTTAAAATCATAATTAAGTTCTTGAGCTACTGTCATTTTTGTTCACTTCTTATTTCCTCTAGAAATCAGTCTTGTCTCCTGAGATCAGCTTCCAGTACTATTCAGATCATTTCCTGATCTGAACTGCAGCTTCTTCACTTGATAAATGAGATTTTACTCCATCCGTATTTCTTCCAGCACTGACAGCTAAGAGTCCATTTCAAAGAAGCTGAATTCAAACAGGGATATTTACTAGGCGGGTTTATTTCTACACCTTCTCCTGCAGGGGGCAGTCCTGAGATTTAGATAGAGCCCTTTCAGCAGCACTGGGTTCTCCCAGACCGTAGAAAAGCTGGTAGAGACAACATGGCTGGTATGCCACTGATTAGCTGTCGCAGGTCATGGTCTATTGATTGGTATACAAGCAGACTGCTTGTAATCAGTTATCATTGGAAACTTAAAGGGCTTATGGGGCTGATGGGACTGACTGCCTGTGAGAGAGAATACTGGCCAATACTCAGAAGATGCCACAGCATTCTTGAGTTCCTCCTTTTCCGTGAATGGCATTTGAAGACCCTCCCCCCAGCCTTCCTCGAGGCCAGTGATTTTGAACCTTAGCTTCCCCTTAAAATCACTTGGGGGGCTGGGAAGGTGGCTTAGTGAGTGGTAGAGAGCTTGCCTAGCATGCATGAAGCCCTGGGTCTCATTCCTTAGTACCACATACACAGAAAAGGCCAGAAGTGGCACTGTGGCTGAAGTGGTAGAGTGTTAGCCTTGAGCAAAAAGAAGTTCAGGGCCCAGGACTAACCAAAAAAGCAAAAAAAAAAAAAAAAATCACATTGGAAACTTGAAGTATTACAGATGATGTACACATTATATACCGTATACATGTATCCAAACATTACATGGGAGCCATTAATATTATTACTATAAGGGTATATTTTATGCTTTAATGTATTCATTTAAAAATAAAATTAAAAATTAATCACGAATGCCTAGCTCACATGCTGGAAACCTGTATTAGTTAAGTCAGCAAAGTACCACAGGCTGGAGGGATGGCAAAAGCAACAGAAACTTCTGTTCTCATAGTTCTGGAGACTGAAGGCCCAATTCGGAAGTGCTGAGAGGTTTGGGCCTGCAGGTTGAGGGCTCGTAGTGACACCGGTCACCTAATGGATCTGGGCTATAGCTTGGGGGCCAGGATTTTTAAAAGCTCCAACTGACAGTCAAGGTAAAGAGCCACTGCTCTAGATTTCCTTCAAGGTCACTTCTGTTATAGGATGCTAAGTCAGATGACCTACTATTTCAGTGATTTTTACCTACCATTTTACAAAACGAATTTTCCAGCTAAACATTAAAACACCCAGCCATCTTCTGAAGGTGTCTACATGCCTGTCTATCCTTTCTCCCTAAATTATTGCCCAACAGCATTTACAAGTGTGCTCTGGAGCATTCTGTCGCCCATGGATAATGTACTCAGCGTTGGCGTAGGCAACATCTACTTGAAAGCTAGTAGAAATTACTTGAAATTACCAACACTCTACTATTTTACTTTCTAAAAATGGCTTTTTTTCTATGATTCAGCCTACCAGTCATAATTCTTCCTCATACCAGTACAAATAACATATATGCTTTATAGTCTTATGTCCCGTGTATCATGAGGCTCCCAGGGATTAACTTAAAATTCACAAATGAGGAAACTGAGACTCAGAAAGAGATCCACGACTTCCCCAAGTTAGGAGGTAATGAACTGGCAGATAGGAACTGGAACCAAAGTCTCCTCAGCCTCATCGCTTGACCTAAAAAGACCAGACTAAAGGCCAAGTAAAGTGGTTCAAGCCTGTAATCCCAGCTCCTTAAGAGGCAAAGAGCAAGAGGATCCCTGTTTGATGACAGCCTAGGCAAAAGTTTGAGACTTCCTCTAAACAATAAGCTGGGTATGGTGGTATGGCTTGTGATACAGCTATACCAGAGGTTGAAGAAAGGAAGGTTGTGGTCCAGGTTGACCAGGAAAAAAACATGAGATCCTACCTGAAAAAAAAAAAAAAGGCAAAAAAACAGCTGGGGGTGTGGCTCATGTGGTAGAACACCTCCCTAGCAAGTGCAAGACTCTGAACACACACACACACACACACACACACACACACACACACTAAGCTTGGTACTGGTGACTCAGGCCTATAATCCTAGCTACTCAGGAGGCTGAGATTTGAGGATCGAATTTCTTGCTTGCAGCCTGCAACAGGAGAGGATGTACCAGATGCACCGGGGCCACGAGTCCATGCACGTGGAGATGATCCTGATCTTCGTCTCTGCCCTGGTCGTCGCCCAGGTGGCACTGGTGCAGTGGAGACAGAGGCATGGCCGTTCCTACAACGTGAGTCCTCTGGGCGCTGGAAGCCTGCCTGAGCTTGTCAATGCCACCTTCCCCCCTGTGACCATGCTGAAGAACTGCTTTGGCTTAAGTCAGTGGTTCTCAACTAGGTGAAAAATTGTCCTTAGGAGCTGTTTTCATTTTGCTTTTTCTTTCTTCCTTTTTTTTTTTCTTTTTTGTCAGTTGTGGGGCTTGAACTCTGGGCCTAGATGCTGTCCCTCAGCTCCTCAGCTAAAGGCAATCACTCTACCACTTGAGCTACAGTGCCACTTCCAGTTTTTGGTGGTTTGTTGGAGATAAGAGTCTCATGGCTTTTCCTGCCCGGGCTGGCTTTGAACTGAGACCCTCAGATCTCAGCCTTCTGAGTAGCTAGGATTACAGGCGTGAGCCACCAGTGCCTGGCTACAAACATGTTTTATTTGTCATGATTCCATTGAAGGAAGTGTGGAGGAGGGGCATCTAGCTCTTCACAAGAAAAATTACCTGGCCCAAATGCTCATGGTGCCAAGGTTGAGAAATCCTGATTTAAGTGAATCAATTTCTCTTTTATGCATGAGTAGATTCCACCAATGGCCCAGGAAAGGGATGGTTTGGAATAGCAGAACCCCTTGGTCCAGGAGGTCTCATGAGCTCCATCAGGGATAGAGCTGTGGTAATAAATATTACCAGTGCAGCACAGTGAATGCTCTGCACGTCTGTGGAAATACGTCCATGCACACGTGGCGTTGTGTCTGCTGAAATCTTTTTTAAATGAGCAAGGCACAAATATTCACTTACATACTTACCTATGTCTGTGTGTAGTATTGTAGAATCATCTTGCAGAGTTAAATAACAAAATCAATCCTCTGGATTTATTTGGAGACAGTGTCCTTCACATGCCGAATTCCATGTTCTTCTTGCTCATGTCATGTCCATTTTCTTCACTGCCTTTGGATCAACAGCATCAAGGTTTCCTGGAATCGGTTATTTATTTACACTTAACCATTTGTTTATTATAATCAGTTTTATTATGTAAATGCTCACCTCTGAGCATCCTCTGCCTCCTCTGTGCCACAAACACACACACACACACACGCACACATATACACACACACACGCACACAAGTAGTTGGTTTGCAGCACAAAGGAAACTAGCATCACATAAATTCTCTCCTTTTTAATACTGCATGGTCCATTCTTCATTTTGTGCAATCAAACAAATGAAAGGTACCTTTGTTTTGATTTGACCTGCAATTCTTTTAACATTCATTATGTGCAGGGAAACAAGGAGAAAAGAAACATGGTACCCTTGGGCAGCATCTGATTGGTCAGAAATTCCTCCTGTTCTGATAGGTGGGTGGGGAGGATGGGGATGATAGGATCCAGACGCATGGGCTGCCTTCGCTGGTGCTGCAGATGTGTTTTATATGCACATGCCCAGATGGTGACCCCTCTGGCATTACTAATGTGTTCCACATGACAGGCCTCCCCCTTGGCATGTGTCCACCTCGATTTCACATCGTGCATGTGTTTATTTATGAGGCACAGCATTCCTCCATTTCATATGTGGCAGTTACTATTAAAAATGAAAAGGTTTAACTACTCTGGAAATTGATTTTAAAAATCTTTTAAATTGCAATGAAATGTGGCCTTCATTTCAAAATGACTTCTCATACAATTATTGAATCCATAATGCAAATTTCTGACCTATCTCTTGACATGTTGAGAAAATATGGTGCTGGGTATCCACTTTAAAGACGGCTAAGAAACCAAATATTTGCATCCATCATACATTGTAATGATTTTTTTTTCTTTCTTTACATTTCTGATGTCCAAAGACTTTTTTTTAAAGTAGCATGTCTATACATTGAACATTGTTATTCATTGTTAATTAGATCCAGGCATCAAGTAAGAATTTTGGGATCTTCTAGAAATAGCCCATTCTTATAGATTCACAGGGAGAGAACTCATTTCTTAAAAATTGTGCCCAATTGTACATCTAATCTATCCTAATGTTCTTTTGTTGATTGTAGGGATTGAACTCAGGCCCTGGGCACTGTCTCTGAGCTGGTTTTTGCCCAAGGTTAGCACTCTGTCACTTTGAGCCACAACTCCACTTCCAGTTTTGGGGTGGTTAATTGGAGATAAAAGTCTCATGAACTTTCCTGCCCTGTCTGGCTTTAAACCATGATCCTCAGATCATGAGTAGCTCTGGAGTAGCTCGGATGATAGACACAAGCAACCAATGCCCAGCCTATCATAAATGTTAAGGAAATGGATTACTCTTATAATGGATTACTCTTATGGATTGTGATATACAATATAAAATATAAAAGCATAGTAATTTTAAAAAAGCATAGTAGTCTCTTTAAATGAAATCATTCAATTTTTTTATTCAGAAGTTTTCATTCTTTGGAGGGAATAAGTCAAATTCTTAGAAATATGAAAAGGGCTGGAGGTGTGGGTCAGTGGTAGAGCACCTGCCAGGAAATATTAAAAGTACCAATGATGAGCAGATTTTGAAAGATGTCCATTTCCTTCTTTTTTTTTGGTTGTGGGGCTTAAACTCTGGGCCTGAGCGCTGTCCCTCAGCTCTTCAGCTCAAGGTGAGCACTCTACCACTTGAGCTACAGCGCCACTTCTGGTTTTCTAGTGGTTTATTGGAGATAAGAGTTTCACGGACTTTCCTGCCCGGGCTGTCTTTGAACCGCAATCCTCAGATCTCAGCCTCCTGAGTAGCTAGGATTACAGGCGTGAGCCACCGGCGCCCAGCCCATTTCCTTCTTTAATATCTGACTTAGTAGACTTTTTAAAGTCAGTGAATCTATAACTTATGACTTATAATTTATATCTTTATAATCCGCTATGGGAAATAAGTGAGCAAAAATACTGATGACATGGGGCTGGGAAGGTGGCTCAGTGGTGGAGCGCTTGCCTTGCATGCATGAGGCCCTGGGTTCGATTCCTCAGCACCACATAAACAAAAAGAAAAAAGCCAGAAGTAGCTCTGTGGCTCAAGTGGTAGAGCGCTAGCCTTGAGCTGAAGAGCTGAGGGACAGCGCCCAGACCCAAAGTTCAGGCCCCACAACTGGACCCCCCCCAAAAAAAAAATACTGATGACATTTGTGTGTGTGTGTGTGTGTGTGTGTACATGTGTGCCAGTCTTGGGGCTTGAACTCACGGCCTGGGCCGTGTCCTTGAGCTTTTGGGCTCAAGGCTAGTACTCTACCACTTGAGCCACAACTCCACTTCTGGCTTTAACCACCATTAACTGGAGATAAAAGTCTCACAAACATTCCTGTCTGGGCTGGCTTTGAACCATGAGCCTTAGATCTCAGCCACCTAAGTAACTAAGATTACAGGTATGGGCGACTGATCTGTCCTGATGAGATATTTTAATGAGTCATAACTTTCATTATCAATACTAGGCTCCAGGTGGCTAATGCTGAGTGCTAGCATAAGCATTTCTTGAGTCTTAGTTCTCCAGCAGGTGGGTTCAGGCATTTGGGAGAATTCTGTAAGTAAAGCCTGCTTTTCCTACTTGTATATATGTATGTATGCTGTGTATATGTATTGATCTCAATATCATAAATAAAGGTGCTTACTTATTTATCAGCTCTGACCACAGCCACCAATAGGATGGAAAATTAAAGCAATTTATCTGAGTAATTTGGGCAAAAGTAAAAAAATATTCCATTTACCCTGAAATTTAAAAACAACAGCAGCAGCAAAAAAAAGTTGTGCAATGTTTTTCCTGAATTCTTTAGAACTCTCTCTCAAGGAATTTTCCCCAAAGGCACGTATATAACAACCTTAGTGTTTTCAGAAAGCAGACCTGCGTAATTCTAAAGAACTCTTACCCTAGTTAGTTTCTGAGAAGGAGAATGAAGATGTCACTTATTGGCAAAGTGGCTGTGGTATGCTCACCTTTAGAACACCCTCACATCCTGCCTAATAGTTTTCCTGATTGACATTAGACCACACCAAGACCTTCCTTATAGGAGCCAAATATGGCTGGGTGCCAGTGGCTCGCACCTGTAAGCCTAGTTATTCAGGAGGCTGAGGTCTGAGGATTGTGGTTCAAAGCCAGCTGGGGCAGGAAAGGCCGTGAGACTTTTATCTCCAATTTAACCATTCAAAAACTGGAAGTGAAGCTATGGCTCAAAGTGGTAGAATGCTAGCTTTGAGCAAAAAGTCTCAGGGAAAGCATCCAGGCCCTGAGTTCAAGTCTGCTGACTTAAAACAAAACAACAACAATAACCAAGAGAGGGATTAGCCTGCGCTGAGAAGTAGAACTGTTGCTAAGGTCACAAAACCAAGTCAGTGCCTCTCTGGGCCATCAGCTCAGTCTTTCCAGTTCAGTGAGCTGTGAGATTGGCGCCAGCCAGGTTAAATCCCCATCAGTAGGCTTTACACTCACATCAGTGGCACAGGCCACTGCAGAGCACACAGGAGTAGCAAGGAGGGGATGGGCTCTGAGTCCTCCACTGCCACTTCCTTTATTGACACAGCTGTGCACATGCTCACAGGCCGCCCCTTGGCTCCGTGCAGTGCCCTGTGGTTTTCAGAATTCTTTCTCACCTCAGGTCTCCTTCCGTCTTCACCTAAGGCAGCACAGACAGGCAGGGCAGGCATCCCCAACTGTCGCAGCTATCATGGGACTTGTTTGCCCAACATCACATTGCCCAGAATAGCTTTGTTCTGAAATAAATGGAAGGAAGTGACAGAAAGTGGGTATTTGGGATCATTTCCCATTTGGATTTTCAGAGGATTATACCAATTCTCCCCATCACTTACAGTTGGATGGTGAGCCAGTCACAGGAAGCAGATCTGGTAGTGAAGATGGCTTCTCCCACGAAGATTCTGAATGATTTAGTCATGGAGATCCAGGCCTGAGGTGTAGCTCTGGAGTATGGTGCATAGTTAGCTTTTCTGAGGTCCTAGGTTCAATCCCAAGCACTACAAAATAATAGTATTCACAGAGATGCTATGCAGGCCCTCAGTCATTGAAGGAGACTGTGCTCATTTCTCTGACAGCTGGTGACTTTGCTGCAGATGTGGGCTGTGCCTCTCTATTTCACCATTAAGCTTTTCTGGTGGCGGTTTCTGTCTCTGTGGGGCATGTTCTCTCTTGTCACCAGTTACATCCTCTTCAGAGCCACCCGAAAACCTCTCTCAGGAAGAACGCCACGGTATGTATTCCATTCCTTTCTTCCCCATGAGCCTGCTTATTTGACTTCTTTTATTTTTTGGTAGCATAACTATTTGGAGGTTAGTAATACTGCTGTTCATCCATGGAGGGTATTTAATAGTGAAGTTTAATAGCTGTCAAACTTATAATTTCACATTTTCACTGAGCCAGGCCAAGACTGAGAGAAGTGAAACTCCTTCTGCAAATTTCTAGACTACTATTATTTGCAAGGTTATTTTTAGTTTTAATTCACTGTGAGTTCTGTCACACTCTTGAAAATAAAGCACGAGTTGAAAGTCTGTGTTTTAACCTTAAAATATGTAAGCTGGCATAAACAGGGTGTTAACTAAGTTATTTGAGATATATAAAGTGCTCTGCATTTCAGATAACACAAACGTCCTTGTCTCTGTCCCCTGCATATAATCCATATTGCACATCAACGAGACTGGTTTGCTGCCCCACTGTATAATGCCCCACTGCCCCAGCTAAATACAAAGTGCAAACACATCAGCTGTCTTCAGTGAGAGACACCCGAGTGCAGCTTCATTGTTCTTCATGGTCATCCCCTCTCAAGTGGCCAGGGGGCCCTGCATCTCCTTCTCATGCCCATGACCCATCTTCAGTTTCCTGACTGCACAGCTCTGCACCCCAAGTCCAGTCTGAGAGCTAAAAACTCCACTGCATTCTAAAGCAGACCCAGAAGGCATGGGAAGAGAGCAATGTGACAGTGTAATAAAGGTTCTTCTAGTAAAGTCATAGGGAAAAGGAGCTCTTCCATGAGAGCAGTGGTAGGCCCTGACATTTTTATAGATCTTTCCTTCACCATGTGTGACAGGTGAGTCAGACCTCAGATTCCATTTAGAAATGGTAGATTCAGTATAGGAGGAAGCCAGTGGGAACAGATCAGCATCACTGGAGAGGCAAGTCCTGGGAGGGGTCTCTAGCACCAACCCTGTGGCTCCTCCTCTCCCAGAATCACCTGGCTGCAGTGCAGAGGGGCAGAGAAGGAGAAGTGAGAGTCTTTCTACTTCCTAAGGTCATGCCACCCAACAAGCATGAAGCTCAGGCTCCACAGACAGGTGACGTGCAAGACCAGGTGGCTGGCCTCATCAACTGCAAGGCCCAGTTCTCACTGGGAGGCTGCTCTGAACCAGTAATACAACTTCTTACCTGGTTTATCAGTTTTCATGTCATTTGAGTAGAAACAGCTCTGGACTCTATCTTGCTTGGAAAGTTGTATCCCCAGTAGACCGGAAGAGAGAGGAGAGAAAAATCAAAGGCAGCCATAGCAATGACCTAGTGAGCATCTTGTGTGCCACGTCTTCTAAACATTGCTGTGTCTCCACACATCATCTTCAGAATGCTGGTGTTATCATTGTCCATCTCTTGGGCTTGCCACACCAGGCCCAATACTTCCAAAAGAATAAAAGCTCTTTAAAAACTAAGCTACCAGTAGCATATATCTATAATTCTTTTATACTTGTGAACATAAGCATATTTACCAGAAGTTTCAAGAAATCACTTGGGATTACAGTTGTTCTAAGAGTGTTATTGCCTAAGATTTTAAGAGCATTAGCCTCAAAAATATCAATAAATCAAAAGATTATTTATGACACTGTTCGGGAAAGACCGCATACTTTTCTGTTATTTTCTGTGTTCTCCCCAATTGTCACAGATTGGTCTACAAATGGTTTCTTCTCATCTACAAATTGAGCTATGCCTTTGGTGTGATAGGCTATTTGGCGATCATGTTCACAATGTGTGGATTCAACTTACTTTTCAAGTAGGTATCTCCCGCGAGGCTAGAACACCCCCCAACACCTGACTGGGCCATTTACCTTGGCACAGACCCTCCCAGCTTTGACCCCATGGTGTTCTATGCCCCTATTTTTTTAATAATACTTAACACTATGTTCCCCAATAGTGCTAATGATTGGGGGAAATCACTAGAATAGCAAGAGGGGAGTTCCTACAAAGTAAAAATTTTTTAAAGATTTTTAAAATTTTGGAACTTTAAAGAGAATCTGTACTTGAGCTACAAAGTTCACCATTAAAAGTAGGTCTCTAATGGTGATGGAGTATCCTGATTGGGCGGGAACTTCCAATCATATGTGTCCTTTCTTTGTATCTACAGAAGCAGCGTACTGTCCAATGAGGTTGCTGCTAGCTCCTATGACTATTGAAAGCTTGAAATATGAAATGAGATGTGTTATAATGTGAAATGTACCAGCATCTATAACAAACCAATGTACTGGCAGATATAACAAACCAACTAGGCAAGAAAGAAGATTCAAACTCATTTAGGGCTAATTCTTCATCTTTTAAAAGATCTTTCCCTTAAAAAGAAGTGTGGGAGGAGGGGAAGGACTAGCACAGAGAACCCCAGTATTTGAAATACGCTTCAACTTGTTAAAAATTGTTTTCATAAAAATAAATTGTTTTCATTAATTCATTATAACTAAGGCATAGTACCAAAGGTCCTCAAAAATCATATAGGTATGAGCCAGGCATGGTGGCTCATACCCATAATCCTAGCTATTCAGAAGGCTAAGATGGCAAAGATGGCAGTTTGAGACTAGCCTGGGCAAAACACAGTTCAGAGGATCTCATTTCAACAAAGACAAACTTAGGCGTGATGGTTCCTGCCTATAATCCCATTACAGCAGAAAGTGTAAATAGGAGGATCACAGTCCAGGCCAATCCAGACAAAAGGCAAGACCTGGTCTCAAAAATAACCAGAGCACAAAGCATATGGCCCAAGTGGTAGAGTACCCAGTAAAATCTGAACTTGATTCCTGGCTTTGCTAAGTATTGATTGTCATGTGAAGCAACTATTTTTTCCCCTCTAAGTCTTCATCTTTTCACGTATAAAGAAGAAATCATTGTATCTATTCCAAACATTTGTTAGGCAAACAAAGTATTTGGAAGCATTTTATAGAATCTAAAGTGTACAAGAGAATTTGCAGCTCTTGTTTTCTGGTAAATGCTTTAAAAATCCTGCCATGCAGAGACGCCACCCAAGACCAACTCAACTAGCGCCCTTGGTGAGCTGATGCATCAGCACATATTTAAAACTCCCTCGTGATTCTAGTCTATGGCTGGGGCTGGAACCTACTTCTATGGTGGTTATTAATACTAGCCACTCACAGGAATCATTTGGTGTTTTTGCTGCCCAAGTCCCATCCTGGGGCTATTAGAGATTCTGACTAGGACTGATCTGGCCTGTGGCCTGGAGAAATAGCTTTTAATAAGCTTCCCAGGCCTTTCTGTGCTTAGCCAACTTTGAAACCACTGGTAAGAATGACATTGTTCTTAAAAGTTGTTAATCTCTTGCTATGCCTTATTTATAAATTAAACGTCATCGTAGATGTGTGTATAGAAGTAAAAACAATCTACATAGGGCTCAGCAGTGAGATGTCACGTTCCCACTGAGGGTTTGGGAATGTATCACCCAAGAATAAGGGGACTCCCCAGGAGTTCCTTGTCCAGCAGCTCTGAACAGTGCCATTTGAGAGAAATTTAAATTCACTCAGGGGCTACATTCTTACTTCCTGGTGATGTTGTTTTATGTAGAATCAAAGCCAGGGACTCCATGGAGTTTGGCATCGTTTCCTTGTTCTATGGCCTCTACTACGGGATAATGGGGAGAGACTTTGCTGAGATCTGCTCGGATTTCATGGCTTCTACTATTGGGGTAAGTGCTGCTTTTCCTTGCTTGAAATCATTTATGACATGGGAGAAATGGTCTCATCTTAATATTTCCATCTACGTTTTCCTCTGGAACTGCTTTGGTTCTCTCAGCTCCACTGATTCTTGCCTCAGAAAATAGTCCTGGCTAACTAATTAGAAAACACATTTCTTATATATAACAGCGAGGAGTAAGTCATCTTGTAGTAATCCTGTGCCATTAATAAAATATGATATTTATTCAGGTCATCATCCATAGGATACTTCTAACCAAAACCCTTTCTCTCTCCTGAAACTCCACCTACTGCAGATTCATATTTGAGAGGCTGTGGTATAGCTCAGTAGTAGAACTCACTCTGGGTTGTATCCTCAGCACCACAAATCATCTAGATTTGTATTGGATGCTTCATGAAAGCACTTCGGCATCGGCAGTAACTCACTGTGATACTCACCAGAAAGATTAAGTTATTACAACCCAGCATCCAAAGAAACAGAAAATACAAAACGTGTGTTGATGGTATATTGGTGCCTTTCATACTTTAAAATCCCAAACAGCATGTGTGAGTGTGTGTTCCACTGTCTTAAAATTAAAATGATTAAACATCAGAATAAACACTTTCCAGTTAGATGGATTCCAGATTTGGGCTTCGAGAACATTCCTCTATGTCTGACCATGCACACCTCTAAACAGTTACAAACCCAGGGGTCCACATCCTCTTCCCTTCTTGTCTTGTGATACACAGCCAGATCTGAAACAGGAAAGTGAGTGTAAGAGAAGAGCCGGCTTCTGGGTTCTTAGTACTCCATTTGCACCCCTTGACCTTATCAGCACCTCTTTGTCTTCCTTCCACCAGGGCCTCTCTCCCATCCTCTTTCTAGAGCCACACCCATCCTCTGCAGTGCACTGCTGCAACAGCAGGCCCTGGGAACTTGGTGGTCATGTGTGGTCTGTGGGCAAGCTGCCTTTCAGATAAGGTTCAAGGTGGCACAGAAGGCCACTCCCCGTGCCAATGAAATCCAGAGTCATATCGACCTCTTCCCCCTTCTTCTCCCCACCAATGCTCCAAGCTGTTGTGCTTATTTATGAGCAGGGTTCAAGGAAGAGAAGGGTGGCATTGGGCCAGTTCCCCTGTGGACCAAGAAGAAGAGATTTCAGCTGGCCAAACAACCAGCTTTTCAGAGACCTCACTTGATCCAACCCCTCCAACAGTCCAGCAGTGCTCAGTCCATGCTGTGGGCCTCTGCTTCATGCTAGCTCCCAACTCTCTACAAATCACTGCATCCAGCCACTGGCCCAGCCACCAGTGTGCATGTGTCTGTGAGTAGTGTGTGTGTGTGAAGAAGCAAACAAAGGAGGACCAGCCTCCATTCCCAGACCAGTGTCTGAGCCTCACACCAGATCAATTAAGCCAGAATCTCCGGGAATGAAGCCAATGCATCTGCTTGGTTTAAAAATCCTCCTTAGGAAAAAAAAAAAAAAGAACGAGCTATTAAGCCATCCAAAATCATGGACAAATCTCAAATGCATGTTGCTGAGGGTGAGGAGCAAGTCCAAAAGAAGTCTGTAAAGAATGGTTCCTTTCACATGACATTTCAGGAAAGGCCCAACCATAGCAGCGCAGGGCTGCAGGAGTGTTTAGGGAGGGAGCAGGGGTGAATAGCTGAAGCTCAGGGATTTATTTTTATATGTGTATAGACTTCCTTTAGACGTTGTTTTCCATAGAACCAGAGCAGAGGGTCCACAGACTAGCACTGCATGCTTTTTCTGTGGCTCTCAGATGGAGTCCTAGGGACACTTTACTGAGACCTGCTCAGACTACAGTCAAGTGGAGGACTTGTTATGTTTCACGCTAGGACAAGGAGATGAGACACACAGCATTTTTCAGAATCTTTAAGAATGAAGTTTCAGAAAGAATGAACCTTCATGCATGCAAAATTGAAAAGTTATTTAGGAGGTCAGAGGATTCCACAGAAGAATGAAGACTGAGAGGAAGGAACCTCATTGTATTGCGAATGTGTGAACTAGCCCTATTGAAGGTAGAGGATGTGTTATCCTAAGGAAATTTAAAGTTAGTGGAGAATATAAGACCAAAAGCAAGAGAAACTGTACATTACATTGTAATCTGGCTGATAAAGTCATGCCTTCAAGCTTTTGGATGAACAATTCTGATGCCCCTCTACATGTATTCTGAAATTGAGCCACTGAAAAATAAATGGATATCTGATTATAGAAGCTAGGTTTCTCACTGTCTGAATAAACAGTTACAGGCAAGAAGAAGGAGCTATGATATATTAAAATGGGATCCAGCTTTAGCTTAGTATAAATTTAGATGAACATGTAAGTACAGAATACTTGGAGTTGTGGACATATACACATGTTAGTATATGCAGATATATTTTCTTGTACTGTCTGCTAAGAGGTTGTAGAAACAATGCCTCCTTCTGCACCCCAATTTCCAGATCTTGGTTTCTAATACTATTCCATAATAAAAAGAAACATGGGCTGGGCACCAGTTGCTCACACTTGAAATGCTACTTATTTAGGAGGCTAAGATCTGAGGATCCTAGTTCAAGGCCAGCCTGGGCAGAAAAGTCCACAAAGTTCTTATTTCTAATTAACCAGCTGAAACCTAGAGGTGGAGGTATGGCTCAAGTGGTAGAATGCTAGCGTTGAATATAAAGGAGTGGGAGGCTCTGAATTCAAGCCCCAGTACAGGCGTGTGTATGCGCATGCGCGCACACATGCACGCACACACACACACACACACACACACACACACACACACACACAATCTGCTAATAGGAGAAACTGGATGTATGGCATATATACTGTCTTTATAGATATTAGATATTTTAAATGTAAAACTACTAAAAAATACATTGTCTATTAAGAAAAAAAAACAACCTGATGTCTTGCCCAAGTTGAGAACTCCCTCTTCAGCCCTGGAAGGTCTAGGTACCCTAGGATTCTAAAAGCATTGCCTTCTAAGAGCGACAAGTCTGTG